CAGGCCCAGACCCTGGCATGGTACCTGGGGCTGGGGATTAGCTGTTTAAACTGCTGGCAATTCTTTCTGTGGGAAGCTGATCTGGCTCATTCGCAGACAGTAATCGCTGTTCCAGCCTCTTGCGGCGGTGCAGCAAGCCTGGGCGAGACAGATTGCGGGCTGGCCCGAGAGCCTTCCTCGTGTCTGTGGCTGGCTTGGGAAGGGGGGCGAGATGTAGCATGCGCAGAACTGTTGGATGCGCAGAGCTGTTGCCCTCCCCCAGGGATGGCAGCTGCACTCCCTACATCCATGATACAGAGATGGCCTCATTTGTGGTGCAGATGCCCCTTCGGGCAGCCAATGCCTTAGCTGTTGCGCAGGTCTGGGAAGGAGGCAGCCGGTCTGTTCAGCTTTGCCCAGGAGACGGCCGATGCCTGCTGGCTTCTCTCCTGGCAGGGCCCAGCGGGCTCCCTTGACCTCACACCCCAGGCCCCCTCTTGCCGTGCCAAGTCCTGTATAGCCGAGGGCTCTGCTCGCCCCCGGACGGGGACCTGGCTTGTGTTTGACCTAGTGAAGCCATATCCTCTCCCGCGGTGTGACATTGAGTCTGATACCAATAGGTCATGCAAAATGGTCTGAATTTGAAAGGAATAAAAGGTTTCTATCTGAAGGCACCGGCGTCCCTGGTTCTCCCTGTAGGGTGGTGGGGTGGAGGCATAGGCAGCTTTTCACCGCCTGGGGGTCAGTTTGAATCCGACCAGTGGAAACAGCGGGGCCATCAGGTCTGCTTTGGCCAGCGTGGCTCGGTGTCTGCTCCCGTGGGTGCCAAGCCACCTGCTCCCTTTGGCACTGATGGGCTGTCTGCCGTCCTTGTGCCTTGCAGGCATCCGTGGACATGTGCTCTCTTTTCCAAGAGCCTGGTGCTAAATCCAAGCCATTTTAAAAAACAGCCATTCAGCTGTCCCCAGCGGGATGTGCCGGCCCTGCCCACGAGCTCTCAGCAGCTCCGTTTGTCTGGCTCCGAGTTGTCTGCATGGGGCAAAAGGGCAAAAAATGTTCCTCTTTGCCCCATGGCACTGTCCTGGCAGGAAAACCAAGCTAAGTTGCAGCTCCACGCTAACCCTGGGGCTTAGCCTGTGTAGGATAATAGCTGACTGCACATGCTCACCTGGGAGCCCCCTTGCTCACCTGAGATAAAAATGCCGCCTGGCAGCTCCCAAACACCAGGAAGCCCCCAGTCTGCCCTTCTCTCCTGACCAGGGACAGAGGTCAAGGGTGATCCCAGCCCCTACTGAGCAAGGCAGCAGAGGGGAGGAGTCGTGTTGTGGATGCCAGAGTTATTTATTGGGTGGGCTCCGGCTCCGACTGGGAGAGCACTGGGGTTTCGAGGCCCTTGGGTGCAAGATGTGGGTTGTGGCCTGCGTATGGGCAGAGTCCTGCGCTGCTAATGGGCACCTCTTGCCCCGAGGCTCCCAGGAGCAGTGTGTGGTGGGGGAAGCCTTCCGCTAGAGGTCCTCCGGCTCCTTCTCTTGGCACCAAACCCCCAGGCTTTGTGCTCTGGCAGCTGCTGCTTTAGGTCTTGGTCTGAGGACGTGTCTGAATGCAGCAGCCTGCTGTCGGAGCCAGCGCACGAGGGCTGGGGACGCTTCGCCCTGCAGTTAACGTGGCTGTGCTGGACAAATTCCTGCTGGGGATTCGGCGCAGTTGTGGAGAGCAACTGCTGCAATGAGGGGCAGTCTCTTCCCATCAGTGCCCCAGGGGATCGGCCTCTGGAGTCGTGATGGCAGCAGCTCCATAGTGTAGACCAGGCTGAACCCCAATACCTCGTCCAGGATGAGACCCAGTGTTTGCAGAAGCTCGTAGCCGCATTCCCAAGCCTTTCCCTGCCTGCGCCGAGGAGCTGGGTGCTAGGAGCTTCAGTCTGCTTTACTGCCCATGCTGAACCTCCCTCAGCTGTGCATGGAGAAGACTGCACCCGGAGCCCAGTGGCCACAGCCCTTGGAGAAGGACCCCCATGGGCCTGGGCAGAGGTGAGGGGCTGATGGTGCAAAGCAGTGGCAGAAAAGGTGGTAACAGCCCATATGAAGCAAGTGGGAGCCAGCTGGGATGGGTTGGGTTCAGCCCCTCTTTACGCCTTCTCGAGCCCCTGATAATGATCGGCCGAGGCTCCCGACTCCCCTGGAGCTCTGGGTCGCCTCCGTGCCCGTGGTGCCCAGGCGGGGAGGGCGCAGGCAGACGGGGCGGTGGCTGCAGCTGCTCCGGCCCAGAGCCCCAGGCTTAAACAAGCCCTGTGTGTGTGCCTGAGTCAGCTCCTTTGGGAGAGGTTGTTTTGCAGCCTTGTCCTGCTGAGCGATGCAAGCAAACACGGCCCCGGCCCGGGCAGCTGGGGACACGGACCTCTCAAGCTGTCTGAGAGGCCTTGCCACCCCAGCCTCCGCCCCGGGCTGTTGTGCGCTCATGGCCCGACCCCAGGCATCTGGGGGGTGGGATGGGAGCTGCTGGTTGGCCTTCAAGCGGGTGCCATTGGGATGTTGGGTTGCCCTCAACGGCGGGGGCTTGGGAGTTGGGTTTGGGGCTGGGTCTGCCTGGCTCGGAGGCGTCTCCGCGCACAAAGGGCTGTAGACGGGCCAGCCTGCTGGAGCTGGGAGAGGAAATGGAGCCGGCTAGAGGCGTGGTCGGTCGGTTTGGGTCTGCGGCTGCTTCGGCCCGTCTAGACTGCGCATATCCCCAAGTCTGGCCTGTGCAGGTGTGAGCCAGGAGAGGGCTGGGGAGAGCTCTGCCCCTGTCCTCTTTGCACACCCCGGAGAAGTCCTGCGCGGTCCGTCTCGCACCGCGGTGCCGGGGGGTGGTGAGGCCTCGTGAATGAAGCCTTGTCTCCCCACCATCTGGGGTTTAGTAAGGTGAAGGGACAAGAAAAGCCTTTGAGACGTGCCCAGCTCAGAGTGGCCGTCTTTGAGGGGAACTATTAGTAAAGCCACGAGGGCTTTGCGGGGTCTGATTTGCAGCATGGTACAGCACGGAGAGGGACTCTGTGCATCTAGCACTCGCCTTTCCCTCGGGGGTCTGCAGTGCATGAGGCTGTGGGCAAATGAAAGCCGCTGGTCACCCTTGTTATCTAGGATTTGGGAGGTCTCCGAGGTGGCGGTCTGTCTCAGACCAGTTGCGAGGCCCTCGGTCTCAACATCCAAGCCCCAAACCCCTCCTCACGAGGTGCCTTTGCAGGTCTTCCCACGGTCCCCCTTTGATTCCCATTGGTAAAAAAACCACGGATATTTCATGCTTTGCATCTTGACAGCAGAGGCTGGGGGCTGGCGTAGCCAGGGTAGCCGATGCGAGGCAGGGGGAGCCTGGCCACAGCTCCAGTGGGGTCAGCACGAGGGGGTGGGTGTCTGGGGTAGGGGGGTGGGCTGCGGGGAGCTTGAAGCAGGGGGTAGCGTGGGGAGCCCAAGCCTGGATTAGCGTGGAAGATCAGTGGGGCAGGACTCAGGAGCCCAGCAGGGGCATCCTGGGCATGATCCGAGCTGGGGGGCCTCACCCATGCTCATCCTCTGACCCCCAGGAGTGTCAAGCAGTTTGCCCAAGTGGCCCAGCCCAGGCTCCCGGTCCTGATGTTACAGGTCTTTGATGTGGCCTCTGCTGAAAACCAAGCGGGTCTTGCCTGCCCTGAACGTGGGTGAGATGCAGCTGGGGGCCGTGTGCTTGGCGGAAGTGGCCTGCAGCCGCCGTCACCTGCCTGTCCACTGGGATGGCAGAGGTCAGAGTTCAGCCTCTGCTTTATTGGGAAGAAGGGCTCTCCGCTTCCGTGGTCCTCCTGTGGTACTGGGGGTTAGAGAGAGGGACGTCCAAGGGTACAGCAACCCCGCTTCCCCAGCGCTCTTGAGTGTGCCAGGGAGAGGTACCCGCTGGCCACCACGTGCCAAGCCCAGAACAGCCCCATTGCTGGGATTACTGCAAGGGCTGTGGACCTAACCTGCATGGGTGGCATTACGGAGGGCGTGCACACCTCTGCAGGCCTTCCCGGATGTGTGCATGGTTGTGGCCACAGAGGGGTCGTTTTGGTGGGTGTTAGGATGCTAGGAGCCGGGTGGATTTGCAGTCCAGGAGAGGTGGGATACAAAAGGCAGCCCCCCCGGACAAGACGGTAACAAGGAGAGAAGCAGCAAAGGAGCCTCTGGAGCAGAGTCGGCATTGCCGTGAGAGGTGAGCCGCTCGGCTTTGGCTGCAGGCTGAGGGGAAATGTCTGGAGTTCTTGGTCTGCTTCCCTCTGGCTGGCGGGGTGCGGGTCTCGGGAGGAGGAAATCTCAGTGGGAAGAGGCTCCAGACAGTGTTTAAACAAGGCCCTGGCGGGCGGATAGGGTGGAGGGGGGCGAGGAGGCTGCGGGGAGCATGGGTCACTCCTCAGGAATCCAGGGCGCTGCACGGAGCTGCCCCGCAGCGGGGGATGAGGACAGGCGCTGGCTCGAGTGTCCTCTGCATGGGAGTCAAGTGTCTGTTGAAATCGGTCCTCAGCAGACCTGGCTGCTGGGGCCTTGCCTAGGGCCCCTCCAGCTCAGAGCTGTTTCGAGAGGATGGAAACTGCTCCTTCCTGTGCCCCTCGCATCAGGGGGATGCTTCCCCGCGGTCTGTAGGGCTGGGACACCCTGTGTACTGCCATGGAGGGGGAGCCCACATGGAGACGGAGTTGCCTGCCCCTGCGGTGCTTCCAGCACAGGGTGGGGGCATCACGGACGGAGGGCAGAAAACCCTTCCCTCTGGAGTGAACCCATTCCCCCTGCCTGAATCCCAGGCTCCCCGGGCAAGACTCCCACCCAGCGTGGCCAGAAATACCCGCTGGGACCCTGCAGGAGGCTTGGCAAAACACTGCGAGGGGGACACGGGTGGTCCTGGCATCATGCCATCCCATATCCTCACTCGATATCGCATCCTGCATGGCTGATTCAGCTGCTTTTGCCCTTGGTCCCAGCCCAGGCCCAGGGCTCATCCCAGTCCCTACCCCAAAGGCAAAGATCCTACCAGGTAGATTCCAGTATTGTGAATTTTATTCAGAGGATCAAAGAACACAGGTTGCAGCATCTCCCTGCTGCAGGCTCCCAGCCTGCCCGTGTCCCCCCAGCTTTGCCACCACCACAACAGAGCCGGCCCCTGGAGCCTCCCCACCCTATGGCCAAGCCCCGTTCCCCCCTCTCCCCACTCAGGCTGGCCTCATCCCTACCGCTCACCCCTGAGCTGGGGTCCCAGCTGGACAGGGGCTGTTCCTCTCTGGGCTGTGGGAAGTGACTGATAAAGCAGCTCTGACTACCAGGATTTGGGGATCATTGCAGGGGGAAGCGGTGGGTACAAGCTGCCCCACAGCTGGGAGGCCCTGTTGGGCTGGGATGGAGCCGGAGAAAAACTTGGCTCCTGAGCAGCAGGGAGCATGAGATACCACCCAGGTGTGAGGTACCATGCCTTCCCTTGTCTGAGCCTGTGCAGACCCCAGAGCGAGCAATGCTGGCAGGAAAATGCGATGCCTGAGCCGGCAGCAGTGCAGCAAGGACTGGACAGCTTCGAGTTTTGTTCAGGGATGGATGCTGCGATCTCCAGCTCGGGCAGTGCTGAGCCCTGGGCAGCTGCTCTACCTGGATTCCCATCTGACCACGGGCACCAGGTAAGAGACATGGAAAAGCAACGCGGCAGAGAGGGTCCCAGGGCATCCCCTGGGGCAAGCGCTGTGGTTGGGGGAGCCACGTAGTGGCAGAGGCATCCTGTGGAGCGGGTGTGGGGGCTGGTGCTCCTGTCGCTTGCAGAGGGGCCCCGGCTAGAATCTAAGAGGGAAAGAGAAACAGTAGGTTCATTTTGGAGGTCAAATTTTGGAGATTCCCAGCCAGGGTGTCACAACCAGGGCATGGGGATGCCCTCATAACCAGCTCTGGCACCCAGCACTCTGGGCTGAGCCCTTGGTCGGCACCCTCCGCCCCTGGCTGTCACCCAGTTCCCCCCCAGCTAACTCAGAGAGGAAGGAAGGAGGGTCCTTGTCCACAAGCGCACTGAGAAACGTGCCCATCCCTTCGCTCCATGCCAAGGGGCAGTGAGCGCAGCTGCCTTTGAGTGGGGTTGAGCAGAGCAAGTGCTCCTGGCTGCTCTAAGACGGTCTGTGCAGGGCAGGCCAGGGCAGTGCTCCGGGTTTAGTCTGAGGCCATGTGGACACGCTCCAGCTCAGGGCAGTGACGGGCAGTGCTCGGGACCCTGATGCTCCTGCTCTGTGTCTGTGCAGCCTCTAGCATAGCGGGGTCCAGGTCAGGCCAGGAGCTCTCAAGTGCCACAGCACAAACCCCAGGAAGTCTGCAACGCTGGCCCCTGCCTCTGGGCTACTTTAACAAACAAGGGGCTGAGTAGGGGGTGGTTTGTCTAACACCTCTGCAAACCGCCTGTTGCTGCAGGGCTGCTTGGATAGGAGCAAGGAGGCTGAATGCTGGCAGAGAGCTGGTTAAGCCTGGCTGCGCTTTGTTCATCTGCCAACCTCTGTCCTGACAGTGGTGCTCACGTGAATGGCAACCCAGTGAGAACTCACCCCAGGGCCCTGGGAGCTATCAGCATGAAGTGGGAGATAAGAAAGAGCTTGGAGGTTCTTCCTGCCGTGGGGTGAGCGTGGCAAAGGCACACCACTTCGCTGTTAGCTGCAGAGACGGGGAGTGATGAGGCAGCATCGTGTCTGGTGATCTGGGACCCCTCAACCTGGGTGACCAGGTGCCCGTGTGCCAAAGGTTTTGCCTACTCCCACGCTTGCAGCCAGGTCAGAGCGTGAAGCTCAGACTTGTGCCCTGAGAGCTGCTGCAAGACATGTCAGCAGCTCTGCTGCCTGGGCTGAGACCAGGTGCGTTACCTGGAGGGCAGCAGTACTCATGAACCTCCTGTGTGGCCCTGGCACTAGGGAGCTCCCTTGAGTTGCACATCTAAGGCCTCAACACCCTTTTCTGTTTCTGCTGCTCCAGGGGTGACAAGCTCAGATGGAGCCCCCCCGAGCTGAGGTCCGGATGGCCCCGGGGAAGCGCGCGACAGGGGGCACCGTGCCTCGCGTGGCCGTACCTGGTGATGCGGCAGTTCCGCGTGGTGACAAAGGTTCCCGTGTACGTGAGGCTGCACCTCACCACGTTGTTGGTAAAATCCGACTCAGCCACCAGGAAGTTCGGGTTGACGGTCACCTTTGGCAAGATGCATGCATATACGGGCTGAGCTCTTTCTGCCGTCCCTACAACCCACCCCTTGAAGTGGGCAGATCTGAGAGCTGGAGGTCCCAGCCAAGGGACCAAAATCTCCCTGCGCTACCCACTGGACCGAGGGTCCTTGCAAGGGCCCTTTGATAGCGAGTGTGTGGGGGTGTCCAGCAACAGAGATTTGAGCAGTGCTGGGTAAACATGCCCAGTCAATGCACCTACAGAGGAGCTCCTTCTGCAACTCCCCGGCCCTCTGTTTCCCCACCCTCCCAGTGCTGGGTCAGCTTTACCTTGAGGATGTAGTTGCCAGGGGGCACATCTGTGATGTCAATCCACTGGCAGTCAATGTTGGCGTTGTAGGTGTCGTAGCAGCCTGGCCCCAAGCCCTGCACAGAGCAGTGCCATTACTGACCAGTCCAGTGCTCCCTGCCTGAACTTGCCCGGCCCTGCCAGACAGGGTAGACTGGGTGTCCTGGAGCAACTGGGGGGAAGACCATCCCCAGCTGGCAGGCAGGTTTTGCCATCATGCGACACAAGGGAATTTGTGGTGTGAGGCCCCGTATCATGCTCGGTAGGAGCTGGGGGGCAGCTCATCCTTCCCGACACCCAGAGCAGGGTCAGTGCTTCATGCTCCCAGCTGGGCCAAGCACAAAGCCCTCGAGGGACATGCTCCCTAGTGCCAGGGCATCCAGCCCCACGTGCCAGTGGGCCCCCAGCTCCCCTGCCAGCTCACCTGGGTGTGGGCCGTGCAGGCATAGCGCCGTCGAAAACCCACATCGCATGTGGTGTCCTCCAGGCAGAAGCTGGCCTTGTGCCCTTCCGCCACCCTTCTCTGGGACACTGCATCCAGGAGGTCGTAGTTGCTGAAGGCATCCATGCTGTGGTAATGCCTGGGAGGGAGAGACGGTGTTGTCTGGGGGTGGGTGGTGGGACAGCCCTGGTAACCCCACAGAGGTAAGCGATGCAGGGGTCAAGACAGAGCCTCAGGGGCACAAGAGCAGGAATGGCTGGGCCTGGGACGTGGCCTTTAACACCTGCAAAAGGGCTGGCAAGCTAGGATCCTCGGAGGGATGCTGGCCTGTGCCAGGGCTCCGTGCTGTGGAGGGGGATCAATGGCGATGGGCTCCCAAACCAGGACGTCCTTCCTTGTGGCTGCATTAGCTTCTCTACTTACTGGTGGCAGCTGTGCCACTCCCAGGCATGGCGCGGCTTCACTGGGAGGAAGTCAGCGGTCCCCTGGTTTTTAACCCTTTGTGGAAAGCGGAGCAGCACCCTGTAGCTGATGTCGGTCACACCTGGTCGGTAGGCGGATCTGAACAGAGGAGCGGGTGTTATTTTCACACAATCCCATAGGCAAACTTGTAGCCAGGAGAAGGGGAGACTCTCCCACAGACCCCTTTTCCCCATCCCAAATCCAGTGGCACTGGAATCCACGATGGGGTTGGGGTGAACATCCTGCAGCTCTTTACAGGGACAATGGCTTTAAAAGGTATGGCCAGCGGGCTCCATGGTTAGCGGTCACCTTCCCCTGCGGATGGGGCGGAAGCCTCCGAGTTCACCAGACAGGTGCAGGCAACCCCTGGCCCATGCACGGGCCGAGGCAAAGGTGTGTACTCAGAAGCAAACGCTATCCCCAACACGCACACGTGTGCCCGCGAGCGTACTCAGAAGCCCTTTGTCAACGATTTCTCCAGACTTTGGAAAACATCCCACTGCAGGGCCGGATGCTGGTTCTCACTGGAGGACTTTGAGCATCTCGGAGCAGCTGGGAACACAGCTTCCCTGCCAATACAATAACAGTCCGTGTCTCTGAAAGAGTCTTGCTAGGAGCTGTGACAAGCCACAGCCAGAGCCTTGGCGGACACGATCCTTCGGAAACCGCCGCCCGGCACAAAGCCCTGGCTGTTCCTATGCTGTTTACAAGAACCTCTGGGCTGTTTCCACTTTGAAATCGAAATAAACACTCAGCTGCAAATAAGCCATCCTGCCGCAATGCTGGGAGGGCCGGCTTAGAGCTACAAAGCCCAGGAAATGCCAGGATGGAGAGTCTGGCTCACACCTGCTGCTCTGCTCTTGTCGGGAATAAATAATCCTTCACCTGGATGTAGCATCTCTCATCTGGCAAGCTCAGAGCACCTCTCAGATGGCAAGGACCAGAGCCTCCCTCCCTCCAGATCAGGATGTTCAGACAGCACCTGGAATAATTAAACCTCCCTCCAATTCTCCTGTGTTCTCTCGCAGCCTCAGCTCTGCTCCAGGCTCACCCCTGCCAACCAAATCTCCCACCCACGCTCTTCCAAACTGGACTGCTTCGCTGTTAGCACCTGCCCCTGGCTTGCTTCACTCCCTGCCCATCAGCGCCGTGTAGTGCCGCTGCACTTTACTAAAGAGCTGCCACGCTCTGTCTCAGTCCGCTGCATTTCGGTGACGGGCGACGTGATCTCGGCAATGCGGCGGAGCGACAGCCCTGCTGCAGTCAAGGCTGTCTTCTCCTTGAGCTATGGTTTGATATCATCAAATGGAAAGGGTTACAGGAGCAGATGTGTATTGAGGGAGCACCTAACAACCCCGGGCACAGCCCAGAATCCCACGGTGCCAGCACACAGCGGGCAAATGCAAGGTATAATGCCAGCCCTGCCCCAGAGAGCTTACCTGGCCAGGCAGTTCTCCTCAGCCGCACACCTCAAGGCATACATCTGCACGCGCTGAATGTAGGTGGAGGCTTGAATGTAGTACGGATCTGGGATCAAGTCAGGCAAGCCTGGAAGGCGAAGGAAGGATGGCGCGTGAGCCAGGCTGGGAGGGAAGGTCACAGGAACTCAACCATGCAGCCAGGGTCCTCTTCCCTTCCTGCCTCCACAACGGGACACAATAATACGAACGGCCTTACTGAAAGCTCCACTGTGCTGTAAATGGGCATCAGTAATATGAGGCAAAGAAACCTGAACAGTTCAGGGCAAGGGAAAGACCAAAGGAAGGAAAATGCAGTTATCTGAAATGAAAACATTCAGTGTTAAGGCTGGATGCAAACTCCCTCCCTCTTCTCCACCATCACAGAACAAATCCAGCACTGGGAAACATGGAGACCATCCACGTAACCTTCACACTGCCCTTATACTCTCCTCTGAGCCAACTCCCAGCTGTATGAGAGCATACATCTTCAGCATCATCAGTGCATTGGATACATGCAGGGTATCCACCAAGCACCCGCTGCACGTGCCACCTCCTTAGCTGGGGACCAGTCACCAACTGAGTCACCGATTCCAGCACACAGGTCCAAGGTGAAGAGGCTTGACAGGGCACGGAGCACACCCCGTGGGGATACTGAGGGGTTAATCGTGTAGTTTCAAACAGCGGGGAAGGGCAGGGAGGGGGGTACAGGGAAAGGCTGTAGGCTTTGGTTCCTATAGACCGGAAAGAAGCAAGGCTTGGAAATGCATCAGACCAATGGGATTTGCAATCCGTGCCCCAGCCTGGGAGCAAGCAGTTTCAGGCTTTCCCCGCTGGGCATTACTGAAGCTCTACGGACTACCTGTCTCGGGCACCTTTGTGCCGGTTTGCAGCACTTTGGGATGGGACTTTGTGCCCTCGTGCTCAGCAGACACCGAGTGTCCAGCTGGGGAGTTAGGAAGAGGAGCCAGCGCTTTGTAACGTCTCTTCCTAGGCAAGGGGGCCTGACAAACATAAGATATCCTAACAGACTTAGGATATTTGTTTCATGCAAGAGGTAAAACTCCTGGAGCGAGGGGGCAGGGCTTGCCTGCAGCTGTTTCGCTCGCTCAGTGTCTTCCTCCCCATTTTACAGACAAAGAAACTGAGGCACGGAGAAAAGAAACGACCGGACAGAGCCCCCGAAGCTGGGAGAACCCGGGAGTCCTGACCCCCCAGTTGCCTGTTCTCACCACTTAGGTCTCCTACCGCCTTCATTTAACCAAAGCACAGACCGAGGCCGTTTGAGGCTCACGCAGGGTCAGGGTCGCAGCTGGGGCACATCTGGGAGGCAGCAATGAACCCAGATGCCCTGACCCACCGCCCGCAACAGCGGAGCCTCCCTGGAGCTCCCATCCTGGCTGGGCCCCCTGCCCCCGGCTCTGGCGTCCACCTGCCCTGCAGCGCCGAGGGCCCCTGCCAAGACGCCCCCCCAGTCTCCCACCTGCGCGGCTGCC